GTTAAAAATCTTGTATTATATATAATAATTGAAATTTGCAAAGAGAGTAGAAATTTTACCAAACAGAAAAGGTGACTAAGTATTTATATCTGAAGATTTTTTTTTTTTTTTGAGACAGAGACTTGCTTTGTCATCTTTGGTAGAGTGCCATGGTATCATAGCTCACAGCAACCTCAAACTCTTGGACTCAATGGATCCTCTTGCCTCAGTATTTCATTTTTAGTAGAGATGGAGGTCTTGCTCCTCTCAGGCTGGTCTTGAACTTGTGAGCTCAAGAGATCCACTGCCTTGGCCTCCCAGAGTGTTAGGATTACAGGAGTGAGCCATTGTGCTGGGCCTATATCAATAGAGTTTTAAAAAGCCTAAATTTTCTATGAATGCACTCAGTGTTTGGCCTGCTAGAATTTCTTTAAGGACATAGTGCTATAGTCACTGACCACATAGTTTTGAAGGCAGTTTTGCTCTAGAAAGTGTTTTGGTGGTCATGAGGACAAGTACAATGCTATACCGACATATCAGGGCGGTGTAACGTAAATTCTTCTTATCTTTAGATAACCTAACCTGTGTGATTACAATGTCACGGTTTATAAAGTATATATGTTGTTTTACATTATCTTTAGAAGTACTTTTCTTGAGGGGGTTAGGACAAATGATATCCTGTTTTCTAGGTGAGGAGACAGGGGCTTAGATTAAATTGTTTAGGTCACATGATGTGTGTAAGGAGAACTGGGGTTAGTGACCACCTTTATTTGTATTGTCAATTTACGATTTCCATAGTGGATCTGCGTATAACTGGACATGTTCACCAAGGAACTCTGTATTATTTACTGTACATTATTTGAAGATTAACTCAATTGAACTTTGGATTCTATTTTCAGATTCCTTTCCAGGCATGGATTTCAATAAATATTTGTCTTTTTTTCATATATTTTCAGTTATTAGTGACCTTTTTTAAAAAATTATTTATTTATTTATTTTAGTGACCGTTTTTAAAATTTCTCTAGCTAACTTGCCTCATTTCTAAAATTATCAGTTTTCTGTTGAGTTTTGGAAAAGTTTGAACAGGCAGATTGTGTGCTTTTTGCCTCAGTGGGATGTTGGGAAGAGAGTTAAATGGAAGCTGATGATTTCTGTGGGTTTGGTTCAGTTAAACATTTTCCAATTTAGCTTTAACATAAATTATTTCTAATTATAGTGTTTTCTAGTCACATTCTGTGATCAGCGTATTAAAGATCTGTGAGATACAGAATATACTTTTATTTTGTGTGGTCTGTTAAGAGTTATGGTGATATCCTGTGGTCATGTTTTAAAACAGATATTTTTAGATGGTAATTCCAGGGAAAATTTAATTCAGTGTATTTATTCAGTCTTCAACCAACTTCTTAGGGGGAGATAGTTTCTTTATAACACATGAGCAATAGGTATCTTCCTAAGCTTTTTTAAAAAAAATTTGCTTTCTTTGAGATAATCTTTTATTTGGTTAAGTACATGTTCAGCATATAATCACAAACTCATTCTGGTCTTTCCAAAGTAGGTGAATAGCTACAATGCCACATCTAGTCTATATGAAAATTAGCTTATTTCTGAAATATATGGATACTGAAGCTGCAGAACTCTACTTTTGTGTTCTTTGTGTTCATTTGATGCTGAGAATTATTTAGGACATTGTGGTTTAATGTGTATCACGTAAATGAAACAGTTGCCATTTGTTCCAACTGATTGGACCATTTACAAGACTTCCTCCTTGCTCTGTCCCTCATCATGGTTTTCGGCCTAGAACGGCCTAGAATTTCTTTCCAGCTCTTGGACCTTTTCCAAGTGAAAGGTAGTTTCTCAGCATTTCAGTGGCAGTGATTTTTCTGTGTATTTCCACTGGATTTTGAGGATGTCAGTCAATTTAAGAGGATTGACAGGAGAGGCTGGGCCAATCAGCGAGCTCCTTTAAATACATGTATTTAATGAAATACATTTCATTAAGTATGAAATATCTGATTTTGAATGAAATGTTTGGTGTATTATATCTCAAATAAGAAGCCGTACAGTTAATCAAATAGTGTTCCTAAACCACCAACACAGCTTTGTCATCCCAATGGTAGCTTGTTTATGCCAGCAGTGAAGAGGCCTGGAGCCATCAGATCACAAAAGGCATTTTCCACAACTTGTTGAGAATTCAATATTTTTCTTTGCAAGAAGTGGTCCAAAGTCTGAAGAAGGGGCAGTCAACTGGTACAAGGTCTGCTGAATAGGGTGAATGACAGTCCCACTTTTGTAGTTTGAGCAGAGTTGTTTGTGTGACAAATGGTTGAGTGTTGTCTTGAAAGAGGAGTGCCCTGTCTCTTTTGACTAACCTTAGCTGCTTCATCACAGGCTTCCTTATCATTTCTTCTGTTTGGTTGCAGTAGCCATCCACTAATTATTGATTGACCAACTTTGTTGAAACTGTAGTGGACCATACCAGTGCTGGACCACCACACAGACACCATTAGCTTTTTTTGGTGAATATTCAGTTTGGGACTGTGTTTTGGCACTTCATCTTTGTCCAAACAGTGTGTGAACACTTGTGATTGTCAAAAGAAGCCAACTTTCATCACTCCTAACAATATGGTGTAGAAATGGTGCACTTTTATGTTATGTCAGCAAAGAAAGGCAAGCTCGGAGATGATTTCTCCTCTGATGCTCATTTAGTTCATGTAGAACCCATCTACCCCGTTTCTTTACCTTGCTGACTTGTTTCAGATGGTCCATTATTGTTGGAATAGTAATGTCACAACTTGCTGCTAACTTACACATAAGTTGAGATAGATACATTTCCAATGTATCTTTCAGTACATCATTATCCACGGGGTCTCAGGTCACTTGGGTGGCTCCTTTTCAAACTAAAGTCATCAGAATGGAACTTCTCAAACTGCTGGTGTTCTGTGAGTTCATTAGCTACATCCTTCCCAAAGCACTTTGTTGATATTTTGAGCTGCCAATGCTGCATTGGTTCCATGACAGAACTCATATTTGAAAATAATATGCATTTTTGACTTAACCATGGTTTTTAATAACAACCAAAAATTGCTCTAAAATTTTTTTTAAGATAATTACAAGCCAAAATGTGTGTTTGAAAGAATGAGAATATACCTTCACAATAAAAATAAAACACGAAGTGTCAAGGTGAAATGTCAGAGATACCAAGTGTCAGACTTAGTACTTAAGGAAACCGGACATTTCATACTTAATGACTTATGCTAAAAAAGAGGCATAGAGAAAAATAGTAAATAAATAGTACATTACTCCTTATAACAACAGAATACATAAAGGCTAGAATAGCTCTTTTGGATTAGTGCTTTTCCAACTGTGGATGAAGAAGGACCAGATTTTTAATTCTCAATTGATTGTGGACAAGGTCTGCAAGGTAAATTCATTTGTCACATGCTTAACTGAGATGCTTTAAAAGTGTTGCTAATTGCCATAAAAGTTCCTAAATAGCTACTTTCAATTTTTAGACATCTTATAGACTAGTCTCAGTTTGCTGACAGATACTAACTAGTCTGCTGATCACATATTGAATAGTGTTATTGATCCTAGAAGCTTGTTTCTTCATTTTGCACCTAAAGCCTTTGGTGATAAATGACATGGTTTGCTCAGTGTTATACAGCTGTTAAAATTTTCTTAATTTGTTTTTAGAAGAGAACAGTTTTACTCAAAAATATTGGTCTTTTCTCTGAAGATGATATTCATTGTCAATAAGTAAAAAAAATATATACCATTGACACTTGTAGTATGGGGGGGGTTTCACTTTCTCCATTGTGGATTTCAGAAATAATCATTTATATGATCTCATTTTTGGAACTACTTAAAAACTAATAAATATACCAATTAAAACAACAGTAAAATAAGAAAAATCAGAAATGCTGAGATAGAGAAAGCATAAAAAGTTTAAAAAGTGATTAGTCCTTCAATTATAAGTAATAGCTTGAAAGCCATGAGAACATAAAAATATACAATAATCAAGAAGATTAATATTTATTATGTTTTGAAATACTCTTATCACTAAGTATGTGGTAAAAATATATACAGTAAGATTGAAGTGGTATATTATACTGTTGAGTATAACTGAATGGCTGGCTTGAGTTGGAATTTTATCTGTGCTATTTGCCATTCTTTTCACCCTTAGGAAAATTATTTAACCTCTTTGGGCCTTAGTTTTTCATCTGTAAAATGGAGATAAGTAAAGTCTTTTTTTATAAGACTATCATACAGTTACATGACTGTTGCTATTTCTATGTGTATATGTGTGTGTGTGTGTATACATGTGGGTATATATACAGGTGTCCTTGGTATTCATAGGGAATTGATTCCCCTTATAGATATTAAAATTTATATTTTAATATAAAGTCTGAAGTCTCTTATAGAAAACGGTGTAGCATTTATATATAACCCACACACAGCCTCTCAGATACTTTATTTATTTACTTTTATTAAATCATAGCTGTGTACATTAATACAGTGATGGGGTACAGTGTGCTGTTTTTATATATACAATTTGAAATATTTTCATCAACCTCTAATACAAAGTAAATGCTATTTCAATAATTTCTGTATTTTATTGTTCATGGAATAAAGATAAGGAAAAATGTCTCTGTGTTCAGTACAGATGCAACCGTTTTTTTCTTGAATGTTTTTCATCTGCAGTTGGTTAAGTGGATGCATAATGTACAGATATTGAGGGACAACTATGTAGACATATTTATTATATAACTAAGACTAGTATCTGGTAAATAATGAGTATTGAATAAGTCCTTTTACATATGGTCATTGCTGTTATAGTAGAACACATTTCATTAATACATTTTACAAACATGTAAGAGTGTGACTGTAAAATGCCAAAAATATGCTGGTTATTATCTGAACATAGTCACCTACTGAATTTTCAGATTGTATCTTTTTCTCAGTTTATTGAGACTAAAACAGTGAACTTAAGTATGTTTAACTTAGTGTTTTCTCTCTTGTAGTTTATTAGAGAAGATATGAAGTACAAAGATGCTACGAATAAACACAGCCATCTGCACAGAGAGGATAAGCACATCACTGTCGAGGACCTGTGGAAACAGTGGAAGACGTCGGAAGGTAAGTCTTCTGTGGCCATCTGGATTCCTCTCTTTCTGTTATTCTGCCTGGCTTAGCCATTGTGAATGCACTAATTGCATATGTTTCTACAAAAAAAGAACCCTGCAAAATAACATTTCTGTTAGGATATTTATATTTTAGGAAGTAATTTCCCCATTGTTGGTTTTGAAAGGTGATTTTTATATTTGTTAGAGTTATCAGGCATTAGGCTGTTCTCAGATAATTTGATACCTTATATCAAAATAAATCAGAAAATGAGTGAGAGCTTAAAGTTGTAAAGAATTGTTTTAGCTACTAAATGACATTTTTTTAATGTCTCTCCCCCCCCCCGCTTCCCTCTACACCCAAACCAGACTATATTAGTGTTTTATTGTTCTTATGAGCATGTAATTGTTTATATATTGATTTCATATTAGTATGTAGTACATTGGATATTTAAACAAATAAATGACATTATTATAAAAGGTTTATCAAGTAAATGTATAGAAACCCAAAAGTTTTTGATTGTGGAGAATAGGTCTTAAAGTCATTAGGAGGCTAGAAGTTTTAAACTTTTCCTGTAGGAAATCCTTTATGAAGCCCTTTAATAGTTGCAGTCTTTTGAACAGTAATCCTTTAGGGCAAAAAAGGTTATGACGCAAAACTTCAACTTGGTCCCTGATAGTAGGAAGGTACTTAAAAAAAAACATGAAGTTTAATTATTTAGTACCATTCAACCAAAATATCTTTTTACTAGTGCTTCTCTTCTTTCATGAAAGTTGAGCACTTACCTAGTAGGATGTATTTTTATTTATAAATTTGAGTCATGAAAATGACATGAAAAGGAAGCCAGGACAGATTACTAAGTAGGAATATAAAGAAATAATAAAGTTTACTAGACTTTTGATAGTTGTTAGGGTGGAAAGCTCAGTAGGTCCTCTGTGTGAGATGAAAAAAGAATTTCTCTAGGCTAAGATTAGGATATGAAAGTATAGATTTTATTTTATACTCTTAGAAGGAGAGAGGGAGTAAGAGACAAAAGAGAGTAGAGAAAGAGAGACAGCAGGAGTGCGAGAGCTGGGGCAGCATTCCAGAGAAGAAAGGCAGAATGCCCCACAGTTGTGGTCAGTGGCTGGGTGAATTTGAGGGGGGGACAAAAAGAAAAAAGGTTATTGTAGCCAAATTCACAAGGTATTGTGGAAGTGAATGTTGTACGTGGGTCATTATGAAATTTTTGAGATACTCAGAAATCAATAAACATACAATCCCTATAGAGGGAAACAAATGAAGCCCTCCCAGCAACACTGATAAGCCCAGCAAGTTGAAACTTGCGTGAGTGAATCAGAAAGCACGCTGTCAACTGTATTTCTTGGAAGTGAAATAATGGAGCATGGTATAGTCTGTTTCAAGACTTTGCTAGTGACCCACTTAACAGTTTTTCCTCCAGCAAGGTTGGAGACAAACTTTTTACTGGTGTTCCCAATCCTGAGGCCTGATATTTAGACTGCATGGTTTGTTAGGGACTCTCTGGAACAAATTCTGAAAGTCAGCTAATGAAATGTAAAGAGAAGGAATTTACATTTTCTTTTTGTCTGTTCTTTTCGGTGGTTTGTTTAAAGGTAACTGTCCCCCCACCCCCAGGTTGCTGCTTGTAGGTCTTCTAGGCCAGAAAGAAAGCTGGCAGAGATTGAGATAGATTTTAGCCCTTCCTGAAAAATCTGTGAGTTAATAATTTCTCTATGAAGATCAGTCATCTTTACAATAGTAATGTTTGGAAATAGGAAGACACAGAAAACGATTTCACCAGTGCCTAGTATTTTTTTTTTTTAAGTGTAAATGGTGGTTTATAGCTTACTTATATGTTTGATTTTACCTTTTGAAAAGAGACATCTTTTGAAATATACTGGGAAAAAAGTCATCACTGACTTTAAGGCCATATAGACTTAAGCAAAATTCTCCATTTCCCCTCACTGTATCATTTTAAAATAATATGAACTTGCATGGGAATAGAAATAAATAAGTGTAAATTTCTTAGGGAAAAGTGATAGGATGGTGGAAAACTTAGTAACAGACTTTATTTACATGAGATATCTTGGCAATATATAGATCCTAGTAAAGGAATTGGAGGGCCATTACATTGTTACTAGTATTTTCTTAGGATTCGAGTATATGATACATTGATTGGAACCCACTTAACTATGTTTGAATGAAGAACAAATATTTGAGCACTTCATTCTCAGATCACCCTGGTTCAGCCACCACCATTCTTGCCTGGATAATTGCAATAGCTTACTAATTGGTCTCCCTGTATACATGTATTTGTGCTGTGTTTTAGTGTGTTTTTTATTTAGCAAGGTAATCTGGGTAATCTTTTTAAAATATAAATCAGATCTGCAATACTTTGTAGTAGACCTTAGAATAAAAGCCAGAATTTTTAAAAGACCTGTAAGCCTCTACATGGTCCGCACTCTCTTCCCCCTGCCTCTGTGATCTTTCCTCTTTTGTTTCATCCATCTCCCTCACTCATTCTGCTCCTTGTAGGACCCTTAGCTGTCTCACAAATTCAAGAATGCAGATGTCCTCATGGCTAACTCACTCTCACCTCCTTTGTTAAAGTTTTTATCAGGGGTTATTTTCTCAGTAAGGCCAACTCCAGCTACCCTATTTCACACTTTTTCCTGGCACTCTTGATCCCTCTTACTCAGTTTCATGCTTTCTTTTTATCATGACATTCACCACCTTCTAAGACATTATATAATTGACTTAGCCTGTTTGCTTCCCTTGTCTGTCTCACACACATTCCCCTTTCAAGAATGAAAAGTCTTAGTAGAGGAGGGGCGTTTGTCTATTTTGTTTATTAATGTGTCTCATAGTGAGGGGATTCTATCCTCAAACTCCTTTTTGGTTTCCCACACTAGTGACTTTGGTGAGGTCTTTTTGATCATGAGAATGTTTGTTTGCTTGTCTGTTTTTTTTAGCTTAAGGCCTTTTCAAGTTGAATAGCCTCTTAAATCTCTTTTTCCCTAGGCTCTTTACCTTAATCTCCACCCTCTGAGAGCTTAAGAGGAGGAGTGTCAAGACTCCTACCTAGATAGCTCTGTGGGAGGGGAGAGGAGTCAGTGTTACAGGCCTCCACTGGAAGAGTGACTTCATTGATTTTCTCAACCCAGACTCTTTTTATTTATTAAAGGGGTCATGTAAGGGTACAGTGTTACTGCTAGAGCACTGGTTTTTAAATCGTAGTTTATTAAGCCCCAGGGACAGGCGTGTCGAATGTGAGGGTATTAGTTTTATCTGTATGTTTTATTTGTATTTAAGATTTCTCTGGGGGAAACAAAAAGTGGTTGTTTTGAAAAGGTTTGAAAATTGCTGAAGTAGAGATTAGAATGTACCTCTTAATAGAAACATAGAATTCATTGTTGTGCAGTTGGATGTGTACCAAAATGCGAGGATGTGTAATCTGTGTATGTACAAACACGCACACACATGCCGACACACACATTTGTTCTTTGCCCATCAATGTTTTGTCTCCAGAGTGCAGTGTATAAACTTTGCATTCTGCAGTGAATATTTATTTGGCTATTAAATAAATATTTGTTGAATGAATGAAAAGTATAATGCCTGATGAGCACTGGTTGCTCAGTAATTCATTTTATCAAATATTTTCAGAGCAGGCATTTCTGTTACAATGAGATACATGTATTCCTGAAAATTATATTTTGTTAAATTATGAACTTAAAAATCATAGGATTCATGGGGAAAATGGAGTAGAAGCAGACTATTTGAAACCTATGGAGCTTTGTAACTACAGCATTAACTGTATTAATGAAAATACTAATACAGGCAAAGAGAGTTTTAAATCCTAGCCAATAAGTGCTATAGTAAGTAGAGGAATTTACAGTAAACATAACTGAAGATAACTTAATGGAAAGGAGTGTTAAGTAGGATTGAGGCTAAAAAATGAAGGACAAATTTTGTGAGGATGAGAACTGACCAAAAAGCATTTCTGAAAAGAAAGGCCCTGGCCAAGTTGAGCTAAGTGGCAGAGGAGGGTGTGAGGACATCATGTCATAGCTTGGTGTGTTGGTGGTTAGTATACTTGGTGTCTGTTTGCTGTGCTCAGCCACATGAAAGCATAAGAGGTGTGGAAGACTCACAAATGAAATTATGTGATTTTTTAAAAATCAACATTATTCTTAATTACCAGATGCACATAAGCTAATTCATGTTACTGAAGCACCTGTAGTAGAATAGACTGTATCTATTTTGTGCTGAGCAGGCATTGTTCCGGATCCTGAGTATTAAAAATGAGTTAAACAGAGGTCTGGGCTATACAGAGCAAATAGTGTAGGAAAGATGAGAGTACACAGAGTAGACAGTTAATTATAATCTCAGGTGATATGTACAATAATGAAAGTAAGTTTAGGTCGGGGAGTCAGCTCACTGGCGGGTAAGTGACTCTCTGGCAGTGTTATACAGAGAAGGCGGTGTTTGGGGTAGGCTGTGAAGGCTGACTAGCAGTTCTGGGAGGAGGAAGTAGAACATAGATGGTAGCTCCCTCATGGGAGCCAGGAGGAACCATGTCAGTATAAAAATCATTCCTTCTTTAGTTACCCCAAATTTACTGGAAGTGGAAGTGGAGGTGGCATGCTATAAGCAGTACATAGGCTTTCAAACTATCCAATTTTAAATCCTGGCCATTCTTTCTATGAACATTGAGACATTAGGCATGTTTTAAAATTCACTTATAAAATGCTATTCTTGTATAAATGATATAAATGAGTAATGTAATAAAAGTGCCTGGAATAATTTCTGGCAAAACCCAGTAGGCATATATTAAATGTTGATTTTTTTTTCTCATTTGGTAATAATACTGAAGAAACTAAATGTTTAGGAATATTTAAGGGTTTGCAGTATTTTTGATTGTCTCGTAATATTCATTAATAAAATGAATAGATTAGGCTGTATACTTAAACTATCATAGGATACAAATCTGTGGACAGTGAAATGTACCCAAAATC